TGTTTGAATATGCAACCCACATAACAGCGCACATATGTGCATAGACGTCTATATGCGTTCATGCATGTTCGTATATGTTTATACATACATATACCCGGATGAAGACAGAGAGAAAAAGAGATATACATATATACATATATATGTGTACATATGTAAACATGCTGGCCAGCGAGAGTCTGGCAGCCATCTTGGTGCCATGCATGCCAGAAACTGTTAGTGTAGAGGTCTCATGTGCTTCTGTGCTGGTAAAATGTCGATTCAAGCATTCGACATTCATGGAGTCTGCAGTACTAAGGCAGTAATAAGAACTAGTCGACGTAGTCGTCGTCGTAGCAGTAGCAGTAACAGTAGCAGTAGCACTTCTGCAGTAGCAGTAGCAAGTAGCGGTAGCAGTGTGCCTATGTATGTATGTACCTACGTACGTACGTATGAAAGTATATGCTTGTGTGTGTGTCTCTGTATGTATGTATGTATGCATACATATATATATATATATATGTGTGTGTGTGTGTGTATGTGTGCGTGTGTCTGCATGTCTGTCTGTATGGTATGTCTGTATGGCTGCAGGCCTGTATCTCTGTGTGTATCTGTGTACGTATGTATGCATATAACAGCATCCAGACTAGAATCTAGAAAACATCCAAACAACACATATACACATATTCAAGCACACACGTATATACACATATATAAATATATGTACATACACACAGATATATACATGCAAAACATATACGAACACATGCAGAAATGCGTGAAACAGATAATATGTCTACATATGCAGAAATACATAAACAATGAAACAAAGAGTGATATACATGGAAGCTTTATATATATATATATATTCACGTACAAGTATATATATGTATGTACGTGTATATGTACATATCGAAGCATATACAGACATGCTCCAAAGTATTCAGTCAAATGCGAACGCACTGAAACTCACATAAGCGCGGGTCAACATATACAAGCATGTGCGAACATATATGTACATGTGTACAAGTAATTAAGAAACTCACATGTGTATGCATACGTATACATTATATGTGTACCTATATATTATATGTGTACCTAAACATGTATGTGTATCTATATATAGGTTTCTTTGTACAATGTATAAGCACATATGAACATATATTCATATAAAGGTACAACCTACTTATGTCCTTGTATGTCTATGCAGACGTACATGGATCATATTCCAGCGCATATGTACATATATGTGTAGGTAAAGTTATACACGTATATAAGTACTCACCTACAAGCATACATCACAATTAGTCAGCTTTTGTCTTGCATGTATGCTTACGTGTGTAAACATATGTCAACACATATGTGCATGTAGTAATGTCTAAATGCGTGAACTCAAGTACAAACAGCATAACCTGCGTAAACGTATATAAATACACATGTGCGTGTGTATGTAAGAAAGCAGCTATATACATGTATATATATATATGTATATACATATATATATATATACGTACATAATCGTACATATACTAACAATGTATCTATAAATGTATATATATATACACACACACACACAATTGCTTACATATACATGTATAATTACACATTAATAAAAGATTAGAATAGGACCTACAGGCGTCCGGGCCTCCGGGCTCCTACAGGCTCCCCATGTGCCTTGGGCCCTGCGGGCCCCAGCGGGCCTGCAGTCCTCAGGGCCCGGGCGTCTGGCGAGATGATACCCGGAACTGACCTTGCCTTGAAGCCGTGCGGACATCTCCGATGCTCTCAGCTCACTCGCCTAAACCCGCACCACCTTTAGAAGCAACGGGGAGATTTATCCTACCTTTTAGCTTGCGGGCCGGAAATTAATTTGGGATTTTTTTTTTCAGAATAGGACGTGAGGGCGGTGTGCGTTTACCACAGTCATGCTTCAGAGAGTTTTCATGATTCGAATTCCCAGACTCTTTTTTTTTGCTGTGTGCTTGGCCTAAAGCATAGGACAGCAGCTTGTTTTCCTTCGTTTTACAAGGGAAAACACTATTTTCCGTACATTTTGGACGGAATCCTGTGTTCTTTCCTAGGAAAGACACTACTTTCCTACGGATTCGTTGTTCTTTCCTTCGGTTTTGCTTGGTACTTCCTCGGGAAAACACTATATTCCTACGGATTCTGTCTCGTGTTCTGAGGTTTCGCTTTTGTTCCTGGGGAAAACACTATTTTCCTACGGCTTCCGTGTCATTCTCTTAGGTTTTCAGAAAAACTGCAGACGCTACCTTGGTTATTACTCGGGAAAAACCGGTTTTCTTTACATTTTTACATTTTGGACAAATTTCGTGATCTTTCTGTTGTTGTTGTTGTCGTTGTTGCTGGTGTTGTTGTTGGTGCTGCTGTTGCTGTTCTTGTCTTTGTTGTTGTTGTGTTGGTGTTGCTGTTGCCGCTGTTGTTGTTGTTGCTGTTGCTATTGATATTGTTGTCGTTATTGTGTTCGTTGTCGTTGCCGTTGTTGTTGTAGTTGTACTTGTAGTTGTAGTTGTCGTCGTAGTAGTAGTAGTAGTAGTGGTAGTGGTAGTAGTGGTGGTAGTAGTAGTTGTTGTTGTTGTAGCCGTAGTAGTAGCAGTAGTGGTACTAGTAGTGGCAGTAGTAGCAGTAGTAGTAGTCGTCGTAGTAGTAGCAGTAGCGTAGTAGTAGTTGTTGTTGTGATGATGAGGATGATATTGTTGTTGCTGTTGTTGTTAGTGTTGTTGTTGATGTTGGTGTTGGTGTTGGTGTTGGTGCCCGTGTTGGTGTTGTTGTCGTTGTCGTTGTCGTTGCAGTTGCAGTTGTACTTCTGGTCGTCGTAGTAGTAGTAGTAGTAGTCGATACAAATAAAATTCAAGTTGCATAATTTGACATGACATACACAAAATAGTCAAAGTAATATACTATTATACAGTAGAATAGAATACAATATGATACGATAAAATGCGATACCGTATAAAAATGAAACACTATAATATAACATGATGTAATATGCTAAACGCAGTAATCAAACATAACATAATACATTCTTATTTAATCTAATATATATATATATATATATATATAGAGAGAGATATATATATATATATATATAGATATATATATAGACATAAAAAAACGTAACATAACATAACATAATATGGCAAAAAAAAGCATATAAACCATACTGATACAGCGGAATAATGTAACACAATATAATATAACATTCTATTATAATGTAATGGAATGTGATATAATATAACATAGAACAGTACAATCTGTAATATAACACAAGTTATCACAGTATCCTGGAATTTAAAGTATAACATGATATGATATAATATAATATGAGATACTGCGATATGATGCGATATAATATGATATAACTTTATCTGATGTAACAACATAAAATCTAACATCATGTAGTGTACTAATATACTTTCATATGACAATATGTTCTACAGTATACTAAAAATGATATACTTCGATACGATTCGATATACAAAATAACATGATATCACAAAAAACAAAACAATGACGCACCCCCTTTTGCTAACAGAATGCCTTTATGATGAGAGTTGAAAAGCTCTAAAGCAGCTTTGTGTTTGATGCAAGTCTTGTTCATGATGCGATGCTCTTGAAAACAACCTTGCGCGGCTCAAAAAGAAAGCGGGGGGGGGGAGGTTGGGGGGGCGCAGCCCCCCCCCCATTTGCCAACACAACGTCTCTATGGCGGTTTCTGAGAGGGTCCTTATGGGTTCTGTCTTTGCTGGCAGGATGATGCTCGAAGCGACCTTGCTCAGGTTAAAAAAAGTGAATATAAATATCAACATGACATAGCATAATGTAGTATAACATAAAATAGTATATAAGAAACACATCATATAATATAACATATAACATATCATGACAAAATACAAAAAATATACATATATATATCAATAAAATGTGATATGAGATACTATGATACATTGTCTTATACTTTAATATAGTATAACTTAGTTTGTTATGATAAAAACAAAAATATGATAATACGTGATCTAATATGATATAACATAATGTCGCATCATATAACGTCATACAGAACAATATAATATGATAGAATATGACACAATATACTAGAAGATAATACACTTTACAATATACATATATATATATACATATGTAATTTGATATAACATAGAATATCATAATACACGAAGCTGTAACAAGTCGAAAGGCCAAGAAGCCGAGTGGCCGAAAAGCCAAGAAGCCACCTCTGCTCACCCCTGCTTCGAAAGGTATACGTGTAACCTTCTATACTTACCATACATCCTGAAAACTGGACCAGAGGACCAGGGGCTGCACCGGACCAGGGGACCAAGAAGACCAAGGGACCAGAGGACCACGGGACCAGAGGACCAAGGGGACAGGAAAAAAAGGGTATATAGACACAAAAGACAAAAAGGAGTGAAGAAATACGCCCTCCGTTGAAAAGCCGAGAGGCCGGAAAGCCAAGAAGCCTAGGAAACCAAGATGCCAGGAAGCTATACAAGACTAGAAGGCAGTATGCAGAAGCCAAGGAAACCAAGAAGCCAAGGAAACCAGAAAGCCAGCAAGCCATGCAAAACGAGAAGGCAGTATGCTCCAAGTTACGATACTAGAAGAAGTCGACGGGGCATCGAAAAGCCAAGTCCCGACAGTGTCATGCCATGCAGGGGATCACAAGATGTCCAGTGACCACTGAAAGCTCCCTCAACATGAAACAACGTTCGTGCAACTTGCTGGTTTCTGACGTTGGCGCTGTCTTTCTTGTCTTTCGTATTCTAGCTCCCTCAAGGTCTTTCTGTGCTGGATTCGTGACTGCTAGAACTCGTAGTTCTGAGTGTGAAGTGAAGCACATTAAACAGCTATAAAGCTATAGCACACAATGGCAGAGAACAACATCCACACCTTCCTGGACACCCGGATGCTCGTGTACTTCACCGAATGGATCTTGTGAAAAACTTAGCACCTGACTCCACCCTTTCGGTCTGCAGTTGAGCAACGTATGCGAGGCAGACGTAGCCCAAAGCAGAGTGCAAACATTCGAGCTCGCCTTCAGTAAGCTCATCCAAGGCTTCATTCCTCGAGTCAAGACCGGCGAATTCAGACTGCGATCCATTCCTCTCGCTCCGCTCATTCTTCCTTGAATCTCCGCTTGAATTCATCGCTTAGCTTGCAGATGATTGCGGCACTGGGGTGTAAGGCTGACTGAAGCGCTCTGCAGTCGATTTCTCAGCCCGGTGTCACGTCGTCCATCGTCGAAGGAAGATCCAGCACGGCATGGGTCCATGACCTTTGGATTGTCCTTGGCTTATGGAATCGCCTCTTGGCAAACATGGAACAAGAGATTCGGTCATCCCGTCATGCAGTGGGACATCACACCTGGAGACGTATCACTTACAAAGTCTCACGCTGCTCAAACGAATAAGTTGCAGGGCAAACCTTCAAACTGCGCAATCGTGTGTCTTGAATTCTGCCATCGCCAAGCGGCACGGAGGGAAGAATCTCACCTTCTCGCTTGTGCCGGTTCGTCTGTAATGCACGAGTGAATTCGCACACATCACATGGCCATCCAAATAGCAGCGACTACTTGTACCAAGGAGCAAAGCGAGATCAGGGCATCCCAGGGCGGAGGCAGCGTCTTCACGGGATCCATACTTGGCAAAAAACCTGGCCGGGCTTCAAGGCTACAAGCTTGAAGGGCTTATCTGCTAATTTTGCATGCTTGGCGGTCATGGTTCGCGGAACCTCTTACGTCGACGTTCCACCATCTGCTTCCTGCGACGTCAGGCCGGGAATTCGGCCGGCCACCTGAAGAGCTCACAGACACTGCACGCATCTGCACGCACTAAAGCATTTGTGTTGCGACTGAAGGCTCCAGTCCGGCTCTTGACGGCAAGGGCTATGCTGAAATCCCTCCCCCAGCCTGTCAAGGAGAGCTTCCTGGCGCTCGGGCTCTCCTGAATTGCTTGTCAAGTCACTTCTGAGCCAGGTTTCCACCAGGGAGCAGTCCACTGCAGGGAATAACTCACCATGACTGACTCTCCCGGTGCCTGATCTCCCTGCCCCACGCATTCGTGGTATGCGAAGCAGCACGAAGCCACCGAAAGCCAAAACGGGAAGGCCGGCACCACTTTGACACATCGACGTTGACACGATTATCACATCCTGAAACTCGACGAGGTACACATGCATGACTGTAAATCTGATGCCACTGCCAGCATGCAGCTGCAATCCTAGCCTTCGGCAGGAGGTAATACGCTGCTAACGACACTCTGAACTCCCAGCTTCCCAAGTCGAGACCGTCCGGACACAAGAGTCAGCTGTCAAGACTCAGCGTGACCATCTTCAGTCACCGCGACATTCAAGCTGCCGATGAGAAGATGACGGACCTTGGAGGCCAAGCACCTTCTCAATGCTACCAAAAGCTGTCACACAGTGGCACCCGACCATTCTGGCGACTGTGAGTGGGGAGATGCCCCCATGACAGAATCGCAGGACGCTGGCGGCCAGGATTCACGACGAGGGAAGCAGATTTTCAGCACACCGAGTGCTTTGATACTGTCGCACTTGTTGACGAGAGAGCGAAAGAAATGAAGTCAGCAGCATATTTACCGTTGGATAACATGTGCAAACTGCCGTGCTGGGGCAACACCCAGACGAGGACTGCACATCTTGATCGGTCTCATTGAGGGTTGAAGTGCATGGCACAATCTCGGGGGCAAGAGAACTGTGCATCCAGGTTCTGACGGACAACGGGCGGAACAACGCACGAACGAGCACCATCCGACAAGCTCTAATCGGTCATTGCCAGGAAAACGCCGCAAATTACTGAGGTGCCCACCTGATCCAGAGCTTGTGGGGAGTGCCTCATCGTCTCATATTCAACCTTGGAATGTCGCGACTTCGTGGTGATTGCGAATAAGCGTATTTGAGCGAACACGATGCCTCATCTTGCAAGCCCAATGGTGACGATGGGTTGCCCTGCTTGCATTCGTTGCAAAACATTCCGTAAATCGTCAAGGTCTAGGTTATGCATATTTGCGTATATCTGCATATCTTTATCGCTGTTGGAACATCTGTCAGCAATGCCGTTGAGCATGGCTCAGACCTACCCGACAGAAGAAATCAGCACACGGATGTTCCACTTCCACAACCCATCTCCATCCGTGTGTGCGTGTGTGTCTTTGTCTCTGTGTGTGTTTGTGTGTGTGCGTGTGTGTGTGTGTGTGTGGGGTGTGTGTGTGTGTGTGTGTGTGTGTGTCCATCCCTGTTTCGAAGGGTAGGTAAATCTGACTCGATTGAGCAGGGGGGCAAGGGCTCCAGTGATCAGCCTTGCCCAACGAAGCCAAATCACTGGAGTGGATGCAGTGGCTGATCACCACTGTGTACCTGCTTTCGGATTAGCCAGTGGGCCCCCTGAGGCACTGGAGTAACCAACACTAGAGTGACAGCATCACGTTTGCCACTGTCGAGTTTCCTGTATGGTTGCTGCAATCTGATCATTCAGGTGTGACTCAGAGCTGTGTTTGAGTGAGGGCTTGCTTCGAGTTGCTGACTTTCCCTGACAGTATGCACCGACAGATCAGACCTGCGACACGATGTGTCAAGTGTGCTTCACAACGGCATTCCCTATGGGCGCCGTGTCTCCCAGAGGTAGCTCTGGTGTTGACTTTCCCGATTGACTGTATAAGCATTGGATGACTTTCCCTGATTCTATATCCGTGCTTGCAAGCTGACTTTCTCAGTGAGTCTTTACCAAATGCCTGTACCGAAACCTGAATGCTGACTTTCCCACTGACTTTCTATGATCTGATCGACTTTCCCGAATCTGACTTTACCGCTGACTTGTCGCAGGTCTTCGGCTACAAGTTGAGTACATGAGCTGTACTTTTGGGTAGTTGCTGATCAGTTTGCCATGGATGCTTCAGGAAAGAGACGCAGTACCCGCACATCAATCCCCCCCCCTCCTCCCCCACCTCTCCCTCCACCCTCCTCCTCCCCCCTTCCCCCTTTGCCCCCCCCTCCCCTCCCCGCTTCTGCCCCTCCCCCCTCCCGTGGTACCACGGCGAAGTGGATTCCACCCCCCCCTCCCCTTCCCCCTCCCGCCTTCCCTCCCCCACCCCCCACTCATGCAGTTTGCCCGGCGCCTGCTTCATCTTCTTCTTTGCCGGCCCCTTCTGCATCCAATGTTGGTTTGGGAACAGCAGATGTAGCTCCTACCTTGATTGCTGCACGTGCTGTAAATGATCGGCCTGTTCCACAGCAAGAGGTTCCACCAGCAATCACTCTTCATGCAGATGGCGCAGGTTTCCGGTTGTCGTTTCGTTCGGTGGCTGATTTTGCTGAATACTCAGCGATCATGTCGGCAAACTTGACACATGTCCGAGGCCACAGAGATGTGTATTCTGGCCTTAACAATTTGCTCGACATTCAGCAGTCTGTTGTTTCTCAACAGAATCAGTCAACAGCATCTGGTCAGAGCCAGCAGTCAGCCCTCACATATCAAACGGATGACTCATCCCAGCCATCAAAGCGACTTCGGCAAGTTCATGGAAGCGGAGTTTCTCTCGTTGCAGATCCTAACAGCATTCGACTTCGTGCGATTTGTGATCAGATTCCTGGTACTCATGCAGATCGTGTAGGGTGGCAGCTCAGTGCGGACCAGACTTACGTCTTTCGAGTTAAACCCTTGCAAGACTCGTATGAGCATTTTGAGAATCGATCTCTTCTCAAAGGGCATGTGGAAGTTGAGTGGGAGCAAGATTCAAACTTCTTCGTGATTCCTGAACTTCGTGGGTTGGAAGTGCGCGATGAAGAAGCGAAGCTGATACGTGTGTACTCAGCTAGCTTCAATTGGGTCGCATTATACCCCATGTTTACTGCTCTACGTCACTTGATCAGTTCCAGCCCTGGCCGTATGAAATCGGCATGTGAGATTTCGAGAAAGATACAGGCCAATCTTGAGTTGCAGGTTCCCAGCTCTTTGATGCGAAGCACTGCGGACTATCTGATCAGCCTGTTAGGTCTTCCTTCCCATTCTGTCAATTCGACGGCATTGAAGTATGTCTCTCAGGCAATTGCAGCAGCTGACCAAGCTGCAAACATTCACTCTGTGGAGCTTCGTTCTTTGTCGAGTTCGTGCAAGTGCTTGAGCATCCACTTCACCCACTTTGAGAGGACCATGATCAGGTCGCATACTTCTGCAGCAGGGATTGCTCGTTCGCCTGTTGCACACAACACAACAGTGGCAGGGGCTGCATCTATCCTCCTTGAGGGAACGATCCGACCATCGTATTGGGATGCTAGTGACAGCAAGTGGTCCCCACCAATTTCCTTCTACGCTAGGGCTCACACTTCAGATGCAGAACAAGCACAAGAGGCAGCGTCCAAGTACGGTGGCATTCTGAGTGAGCGTCCGGTGTGCATTTTCGGATCTGCATTTAATCGTCAAGGGTCCCTCACGCCTCCCCACTCAAGGATCCCCATGGGAGGAGTTGAAGGTGACCATTCCTGCAGTTACATTCGTGACGTTGCCCGTGCCAAAGATGGCAGATGGGTCTTTCGCTCTTCATGTTTCATCCCGGAAGCGCTTCTTGTCTTTTGGAGGGTCTGAGTGCAGCATGCTGCTTTGACCAGCCACGTTCTCAAGTCTCTTCCGTTGTCAACTGCTTTGCACGCATACATGTGTCGAAAACATGCCAGTCAAGATTGTGAGATGTGTCAGCAAGAGATATGCAAGTGTGCTGCAAGTGAAGTGTCAGCGGTAGTGCAAGGGTGTGCGTCAGAAGTGCAAGAGAGGAGCAAGTGTGGTGCAAGAGTTGTGCAAGCGATGTGCAAGTGCTGCAGTTTGGGAACAACTTGAGCAGGTTTGTTCAACTACGGAGCCTTTTGATTCGAAGTGTCTTTAGCGATCCCGTGGACTTAGCTTTGTCGATAGGTCTGAAACCATGGCATGGAATGGACAGTGGGACACCAACACAGGGTACGGGAGGTCCCAACAATCGTGGGGTCAGCATCGCTATCAGCCGTATAGCTCGGGAAGTTGGAATGATCCCAACCTCTCCAATTCTGCCCCTGCTAGTCAGCCACCTCCCCTACCTCCGCCTCCACTTCTTCGGCACCTTCATCATCGCCGTCTACTCCCATGCCACTTCATCAAGGTCCTGGTCTTGCTCCTGCACTACCGAATGGATGGGCGTCAGATCGTGATCATTATGACTCAACGGTGCTTCATGGGTTGTCCTTTCGTAAGTCCATCGAAGCCACCCCGTGGTCGCGAAAGAAAGGGATCGCAGGAAAAGATCCACTCAGCATTCCTGTTCAGGAATTCCTGTTTCATGGAGTTTCAGATTGGCGTCTTCGAGCATTAAGTCATGGCAAGTTTTTCAGTGTTGTGCCAGTTGCTACGGTTGCTGAAGCAGTGTTCATGTCGCAAGTGACGAAGAACCTTCGAGATCGCAAAGTTGACATCGATGCAGTTGCTACGCAACTTTTTCAGGCCGCTAATCCATCTACAATCATTCCCAACAAGAACACGGATTGTGCAGCCCTGCTTCAGCCGCTGGTTGACAAGATCGTTCAGCTCATGTTTGACAACATGCCGGTGCCCACAGGCGTCGACCAATCTCAGAAGTTCCTTCAAGTTTCGGAAGAGCTCAATCGCCGTCGTGAACAGTTGCAAGCCGCAGGACTTCCCGTTACCCCCACGAAACCCGCTTCGAAAACACAGCTCCCGGTTGCTTCGCAATCTAGTGCTCCGTGTCTACAATCCGGGACACCACCGAAGACTTGGGAGAGTGACCTCAAGAGTAAGATCGACAGTGTTCCTGCTGAAGCCTTGAACGATCACAAAGCCCGACTAAAGGGATCAGGAGAGGGGGACGTCGACAAGTGGATCCAGAGCTTCAAACGACCCCTAGGCAAGCGTTTTGCAGAATTTCAAGAGCACATTGTGTCTGTCTCCAAGCTTGCGCAGATCAACTATGGAGGCAAGGAGAAAGCCAAACTGCAAGAACTTGCAGTCAAATTCGGGATCTCGGCGACTTTTGCATCTAGGATGGGCATCAAGAGTCTCTCTACGTGCATTGCAGCGGCAGCTTTTCAAGTTGTCTGAATTGCACACAGCCTTGCTTCCAAACAATTCTCCGTAAAGGAGATTCGGTCAGCTCATGTTCTTATTACAGAGATTGGCAAGTTCATGTCGTTTGTGCTTCAATTCATTCCGCATGTGGACAAAGTGATGGCCATTTGGTTGCAAGGTTTTTGTCATCTGATTCTACTGTTCCATTACTCCAGGGGTACTTCGCCAGAACAACGGCTGCTTGAAAAATTGCGCAAAGCTGGAGTCACGCCGTCTGAGTACACGTTCACACGGTTTCAGAGTCCTTGTGCAGTTTATTTGAAAGCTCCCGTGTCTTGGAGTACGCGTTCATCGTTCAAGCAAAGAGACCGATGGATGTATGTGGGAAGTACCTCAATTACTATTTCGAAGCGTGAATTCAACCGGCAGTCCAAACTCAAGCAAGTTCTCCGTGAGCAATATGTTCAAGTTGAACCGGCCATTCGTATTTGGGCTTCGCTGGGCAGTTATTTCGACTTTTCTACACTTTGTCTGTCTGTTCATGATGACTACAAACAAGCTTGGGTGCAAGAGCATGTCCTTATTGATCGGTGGCAGCCCAGATTCAATTCACCGTTCATTGACCGTTTCTTCATTAAGTCAGCCTTGGGATTCAAGAGACTCAGGCCACGTCCATCTCTTAAGAATGTTTCATTGTTTTCCAGACTTTGGGCCAAAGTTCGAAGACGTGCCGCTTCAACAAGTACTCCGACTCGATGTTTGATGGACAAAAGCCAAGCGTGGTCGCTCCTGTACGATTTGGCGTC